TTTTTTTTTTGTTCTTTATTGTCGCCGCCGAGAGTCACGAGACGCGGGGCGTGCATCGTAAACACACGGAGCCTCCTGGTGGGCTGATTTCCACCGAAACGACCGTTGTACAGAGAGTCAACGAAAGAGGAAGAGGGAGGAAAAACGATGGAACAACGGTGAAAAATGGCGCGGAGGAAACTATACTGGGTAGACCACGAAACGTGATCGGCTTAGATTATTTGACTGCTAGCTGTTCGATTGAAATTTTTCGTAGCTAATATAACATGATTCGAGGATAGCTTTAGACGATTGTACGAAATTTTTTGTCGAATCTCTTTTCTAGAGTTTTCAAGGTTACCTTCAGGTTTTTTATAGATAAACCTGTGATTTTTTTACGCTCGTCTTTTAGCGGATACTGAAACGAATTCAGCAAGCATGATAACAAATTTGTTTTTTCTTCGAAATCAATCTGACCTTTCACGTTACTATTTGTAAACGTTTATTTCTGTAGGTACATCGAAATACATTGAATGGTACCGAACATAAACTTAGACACCATTTTGAACATCGTTTTAATTAAGGTAAATGATATTTTCTTAATCTTTTTTTGGTTTAGAAGAAAACAAATTATTTCTTATCATGCATGCGGAATTCGTCTCTGTCTAGAAGAGGGTTGCCAAAAAAATTTGGTACAATCCTCTTAAAGCTCTTCTTCAATCATGTTATATTATTAAAAAAAAAAAAATGTTCGATCGAACAGCTAGCAGTAAAATAATCTAAGCTGATCACGTTTCGTATACCACCCTGTATATGTACCTGTACATATACGGTACAGCCGGTATTTTGTACGTGATTGAAACTTGACGCGACGCCGCGCAAGCGCGATATTTTACGTAACGAGACCAGCCACGGTGAATGAAAAATGAATAAAGAAATACCCGACGCATCTCGCGCGCCGATGATGGATTTAACGTGGACCCTGCACTCGACCAAGCAGTTTTTACCTTCTCCTTCTCGTTCCTTCTTTTTTTTTTCACGATTTTCACGACGTACATTCTTCTCCTTCTTTCTGTCCTTTTTTTTTTTCGGTGGAAAAAATCCATGTTGCTACGCTAGGCACAAAACGTGACCGCAGGAACATGAAAGCCTTAATGAGCTCTCTCGCTAACGAGGAACGAATTCGTTCGGGTGAACATCGTTCCATCCTCGACGCGAGCCCAGACTCGTTGAAAGCAGCTTTTCTCGGGATCGGTGTAATTCACCGTTAACGTGATCACGGCTCACAATGCGTATACATATATGTATATATTCTGTTAATCGCGTCAGCTTGAATCAATCTCCGATCCGCCTCCATCGCCTCTGGACCAACGAAATATTATGTTCCCGCTTGGGTGCCACGGGGACCACTGTGCTAATCAGCTTTACCTCGGGATACCGTGTATCGCCGTTGTAGTCAATTATTGGCTAGCTGCCGAGCTAATGAACAACTGAATATTCATCGATTCCACACGAGTCTACGAATTCATGCGATTCGCGGCTGCGTCGCTAAACGCGGACCGGTTGTTGAATCAACTTCGCCGCCGCTAGATGCAGGGAAAGGGATTAAATACGGGTGACCGACTATGATCTTACTGCTGACTGAAGATGATGTAGGATGCTGAAGACTTTGATTACAGGAGTAACGTTAAGACGAAGATTCTGCTAATTAGGTAGAGATTTGTCTGCTGACAACAACCTAAAGTACGTGTTTGAAATCACGAAATGGTACTTTCGAGATTATGCGATAGGGGACACCCTAACTTTGATACAGTGAAATTTCTCCTAAATATAGGGCACAACCCTATTGAGAATTTATAAGGTCACTGGAATCGGCGAAAAAGCAAAACATTGTCCAGTTTACTGAAAGACGAGGATATTTAAATTAACAAACTGTGTTGACAATAATATAATTCAGAATTCTAGGAACTAGAAAATCAATCGGCTAATGCAACCAGTTTACTAACAGCGGGGAATGAATCTATGGAAGTGATTCGGCAGAGTTATGGGGAAGGTAGAATGAACTGACGACTATCCACCCTATGCTCCTTTGGGAGACATAAAAAGCTACCCACCTAGATTCTTCCCAGATCGATTATCCGGATGAGAGACGAACGGTGACTCTGTCCCGTCTATCCAGTGATCGCGAAGCTTCCAACAATTCTCACTGAAAGTTTCAACGACTTGATTTTTAAATCATTTGTCAAACAACTACTTGAAGCAAAATCTTTTACTCTACCATTCGAAAAACGACGATAAATCTCTACTCATTCAAGGACAAAGGTGAAGGTAAAAGGCTTCTTTCCTAAATCTTTATGAAAAAAAAAAAACATCGTTAAAAGGTTGTCGACGAAACTGCTCTTGAGGTTCTTTCGACGCAGCCGAAGCATACTACAAAGTGCAACGAGATAATATTATGTTACGATGCATCAAAGCGCACTAGCTTAATCCGTTAGTAGTCCCCCAAAGTTTCGTCAAACGAGTTCTGATTTCATCTTGACGTAGCACCGCGAGCCAGAGGTAGAAGACAATAGAGGGGAAGGAAGCGAGCCGAGAAAACAGAGGGTGGAAGAAGAACGGAGAACCGGCAGACTCGAGCTATCTTCGGTCTGGTGATATTCTACCACGACTACATTAGACGGCTTATCCGCTCATTATGCGGCCCGACGATCGCGCTTATACTACAAACCTACGACCTTTCCTGTTAAGCTCTCCGCCGCGAGATCAACAGACCCCACGGTTCTTCCTTACTGAATCATCGCGATTAAAACGACATGATCCTGAATTATGCACCTTGCCGGGGAATTTAATACACCCCCATTAATAGCTTTGTATCAACGAACTGATATACTGCGTCTCGTAATTGCCGTGACAATTGGAAGCGAGACGTATCGATACAGTAGTCGTATTGTTGACGGTATTAAGGGTAGCAATGAGTAATCCAAAAATATAAATAGTGGGTTACATAAGGAAAACTTAGAATTTTCTTACGTCATCTTTATGTTCATTTGAAATAGAGTAAATCATTGATGAGTGTTCGAAGGCTTCTCAGCACCGAGTGTACAGACGTTATCCCCACCATTGGAGGACACCCTCGTGGAAGCAGTCAAGCGCCCAGTAGTAGGGATGACGTCTGAACACTCAGTGGCGAAGAGCCTTCGAACGCTCATCGATAATTTACTATAGATCTTGTTTATTTGATATCAGGATTAACTACCATGATTGAATTTAAGAAAAAGGAATTCAGACTAAAAGCATGGTGACTCAGCGAAATTCATAGACATCGAAGATTCTCAATACGTGAGTCGATCCGAGAACGAAAGTAGAAGAAAAGACACCGATGTGTTCGGTGAAAAGACTGCACTTAACGTGGCGGATATATATCGTTCTACTGAATGGAGCGGAAGTGATATGTGGCCACGTTTACCGGGGCGACTAAACGCACTATTTCTTGTTCAGTTTCCAAGCTTCCTTCGAAAATCCTCCAACGGTTGCGAAGGAGTACATTTAGCGTGAGTTACAATTGCTTTCGTTTCTAGCGCATTCCTATGGGAGAATCGATCACTATCCGACCATTCTTTTATCAGTTGCTACTACAATTGTATACAGTCACATTGTATAAGTAATGCAATCACATCGCACAAAGATAAACAAGGGAGTATTTGAAAAGTTCTGGCATAGTGTAGGATAGATCGATTAAGTAATCTAATTTAATTGAAAGCGGGCACGATATGTCGTCTTTGCCGTTGAGCTTTAAACTATTTAACTGGAGAAAACGATTTAATTAATATGATTGCACTTTAAATTGACTTTTAATTTTCTTATTCATTTAACTAACAATCCAATTTTACCATAACATTTGCATTAATTGTTTATTGCACTATTGTTTATTAACTATTGTTATTGTTTATTGCAGCCGCATCTACCGAAAAATAGTTGGCGCCGAATATTAGTGTTCCTTAAAAATTTATATCTTAAACAATTGCTCCCAATTTGCTCTTTCGGAATCTAAAATTGCTCCCATCGCACCGTTTATATTTAATGAGATATTCGCAAATGAAAAAGCAAAAATTTGTTTTTTGCAAAATATGTAGATAATATGTAAATGGTCTTTCTACACAAATATTATGGTACCAAAAAATTGCTCCCATCTGTTTTATAATAATCAATAGTCAGATATCTCAATAACAACTTATTAACGAGGAGCAATTGAAATAATGTTGTTGCATACAGGTTAGGTATACGTCATACGATAGACGCTCGTTTATTGCAGCCTTCGGGGCTGTACAGGGCCAGAATTCCAGGAATATTACAATATCTCATTAAATATAAACGTTACGATGGGAGCAATTTTAGATTCCGAGGGAGCAAATCGGGAGCAATTTTTTAAGATAAAAATTGTTAAGAAACACTAATATTCAGCGCCAACTATTCTTCGGTACCGCATCTTCATCTGATTGATCTCATTCGTCTTTAATTACGCCCACTGTAGATACACTTACGGTTGAAAACTCAACTGGTTAACACATTAAGGAAACGCTCTGTCGATAATAGGAAGAGCTGCCACCTATCATCACATAGAGGAAGCCGTAATGTTAAATTTAAACTTCCCGGGCAAAGACTTACAAGAATACGTTACGAGAAAAACGAACTCCCCGATTTGAAAATGAAGTGTACTTTTGAGAATACTTTACACGTTTTTGATCAGGCAAGTTACGCGGAAACTAATGCCTGAAGCCTGCTATTTTCTATATGAGTCTATGTATGTTGAAAGCATGCATTTGAATTACATGCATCTGTAAAAACGGGTGAACTTGACACCAGTTAATAACGTTCACGCGACAAAAGACGAGCTGACCAAAGACAAAGACATCACCGGTGAACAATGTGTCAAGAATAGTACAGAGTCATTAAAAACATAAAGAAACCTGTATTCAGAATGTTATTTCTTGTACAATTTACTTTGAATAAGAAGAACTTACCTGGTTCCTTGGTCGTGATCGGAGTTGTAACTGCGGATTTAACTTCATGACCCTGGGATTCACCACTGTTCTTAACAAACTGCCAGTCTTCCCTCAGTTTCTTCAACTTTTCCTGTTACAAACACATTTACACTACAAACTCGAAATTAAACAAGAAATTCAACAATTATCCGGTAACGAGAAACTTCCTCTGACCGCGCGCGACCGTTAATTCGAAAAAACTAACTTGTAGGGGTGCCACCTGGTGAATATAATTTTTCCCTTAATGAAAACTGGGGATAAATGTTTCAAAGGTTGGCACCCCGTTATAATGGAAATGCTTTAAATTCAAATTTTTAAATACATTTATTTCTATTTAGTGGTTGAAAATTACTTCAATTTATAGCAACACATTTTTGCACTTACTTGTAATTCCACGGAAATTGGTTGTTTCACAGATTCACACTCAATATTGTTAAACAATTAACATACCAATATTTTTTATTGCAGCAAGCACATGTACTAATACTTACCATAACATTATCAATAACTTCGATCCGTTCTTGTTCAGATAATTCTCGAGATATACTGATTCTTGTTCGTGTTTCCATTACCCATGCCATAACAGCATCCAAAGTACAAATATATTTCTTAAGAGAGGCAAGTTTATTTTCAACATATTCACGATGATTCGAGAGACTTGAATTGGCCTATACAATTAATTGTAATAATTAAATTAGGATTAAATCGCAATGCAATTTTATTTTTATTTTATTTCTGTTTAATATAAAATATATAATCTTAAAAAATACTTTGTCCACATCAGCAAGGAGTTTGTTACAGTCATCCTCTCCTGGAGGTACATCATTTTGATTTACTAGATTTTGCAATGCCCTTTTACGAGAAGAAAGTTCTTCTTGTTTGGCCTAAAAGTATTAATTATTTCATAGCAAACTAATTCTGAAATCCTATGCACTGGAATGGCAAGTTTATGTTTGGAAGGAAAATAGACAAAAAGGGAGAGTTCAATGCTATTTATGTCTTGGCACAGTTTCGTTTGTGCAGTCATGGCATGAGAATGTATTATTAGGTTCAGATTCAGTGTATTTAATAACGTAATAGTAGGCAGTGGTCCACGAATATTAATTTTTTAATTAAAAAATTAATTAAGTGGTACTCAATGAAACCATAAACTAAGTTTATATCAATCTTAGAAATTTTTCAACTAAACACATATGAGTGAATACTAGTGCTAAATAAACATTAACTTCTTCAATTAATACTGTCCACTACTTCTAAAGACAAAACTAACTACATACTTCGGAAGTACACCGACTTACCTTGATCAATGACAGTCTAATTGATAGAGAAGTTTCATCTGATGGATTTGCTGCAGACACCAGTAAGGAATTTATTTGCTCTAAGATGTTGTAAACACTTTCCAAAATTCTTCCTTCATTATTTACTTTCCTTTCCATGGCAAAATTTCTTAAACGATAAAACACAGATCTTAGACACTCTTATGAAGTAAATACGAAGTACCGATATAAGTACGATCTAATAATTCGAAAGAAATTGGTCCAATTTTGCGATCACATTGAAAACGAAAGTTTAAGCTCAATACTTTTTAACACTATATGTGATTTTCTTATTGCATTCGAGGTTCTTCTGCGTTGAACAAGAGAGCACCAGAGGCAAATCACAACTGAAATAGCTCAATAGGAAGAACAGCTTCGAATGTAACGTGTCCATCAAAACCTCTATTCTTAATAATCAAATATAACCCAACAGGAAACCCTGAACAGTTAACACAGAAATCACTCACTTTTCTTTTCTTGAATTTAAATCGGCCACTATATTTTGCCAGCGACGCTTTATCATCTCAATCATTTCTTTCAGTTCCATCATATCTTCAGCTTTGGAACGAGTTAAAATACTAGCACTCGAGACGTTAATATTATTCACAATTCTTTGCATTCTAGAAATCTCTTGTTCCAATTCAAATATTTTTGTCTTTGATGATTTGGAATGTCCAGTAGAATTTAGTTTCTTTAAAGATTCTTCTGTTTTGTCTAGCCACTCGGAAAAGCTTCTACATGTGTGGTACAGTTCTTTCCATTTTTCGTAACATTTGTTCCAACGATTATATCTATCTACGTAACTTTGATTAACTTTCATCCATTCGTCTCGTAGTTTATCACTCAAACGTCTAATTTGTTCAGCTTGATCTCTCCTTAACTGAGAAGCAACATTTTCAAAAACCAAGTTAATTTCTTCGATACTCGGTTTCAGAATATTCAAAGCATTACTAATCTTCTTCAAGCATTCTTCTTGGTTCGCAAACATTTCGTAATCATCGCCATTCAAAGGCATTGAGTTTAGTGATCTGGTCACTGTCACGACAGCTTCTCTAATCTTATTAACTCTCGTGGTGAACTCTTGTAAGTCAATCCTTCCCACATCCTGCAAAAACGCGGTATAACATTTCGAATTACAGTAAACTTTTGGTTAATATTTCATACATTTATACCCACCATTTCAACTTTCTTGTCAGTAACATGTTTGTCTTTATCCTTGCTACCACTATATCTTTTAAACTGTGAACTAACTTCCTGCCACCTACTGTTGATACTATAACGTACAGTTTCGGAGTAACCAACGTTCAATTTTTTTAATTCAACAGCCAGGTCGTTCAATTTATGAATCTGCTCTTGCTTAGCATCAAACTCTGCTGTAAAAGATTCTAATTGACCCTCGTAATTATTCACTTGTTCCAATTTCAATGGGACGTCTCTAAACCAATCTTCAAAATCTGCTATTAAATTATTATATTGCCGTAGTATTTCTTCGCCCCGTTGTGCTTGGATTCTTCTCGATTCAACCTCAGACATAACTTGATGCCATTTACTCCGTAACTTATCCTGATGTTCATTCTTTATCTTCTCAGCTCTAACAGGATCAGATGCATGCACTGTCATGACTAGACCATCACCTTTACTAATCAAAGCTGCTGCGTCTGGTGCAAGAGTACTAACTTCGCCTTCTAGTACCTGAAATATAAAACATAAATAATATTAATAAATCGTAAATTTCTATACACAAGTATATAACTTGTAACACATTCATACAGACCTCCAAACGCTTAGTGGGATCTTTTTCATTGATAATGCCACTGATGCTCATAAGCATAACGTCCATTCTATGTAACATTTTTTGGGCAAACTGTTCAAATTCCAAAATGCATTTTTCCAAAGCTGTTCTGGATAAGCCTGTTGAAACTTTGAAACCTCTCTTGTCACCTGATACTTTTACATCGGCTTTCTGTTGCGATTCCTGTGATACCTTTTCAACCTGCATCTATACACAACAGAGTTATGAGAGAACAGTCTTAAAAAACATTATACTCACTTATGTATACGTTAACCTTCACCTATCACTGTTTATTCACAACAATGTTTTAATTGATTGTTACTGATTACAATGTATAATATTACAGACATTATGAAACATTCAATGGCGACGCAAGGGCCATTAAGATTACCTTGCCCAAGAGGTGCTCAACATGTTCTCCTAAATGTGGGTCTTCCCCTTCTGAACTGGAACTTCCAACGTCAATTTCAGTATCGTCGGAAAAAATTAAAATATCATCAGTTTCTTTGTCGCTTCCGTAGAAACTTTCACAGTCTTCTAGTGTATCATCTTTCGATATACTTCTTGCGCGTCTGTATAACAAAGCCTTTGGACTTTTCTCAGAATCCAAATTTTCTTTCTCATTATGACGTGGTTTCGAAACCTCAATGCCTTTATCGAAGGCTAATTCTTTATCGGTAGCATGCTCTTTTCTGCGTCTTATATGAGTGATTGGTAATGGGGAAGAAATGTCAGTGATATCGGTGTTTGATTTTAAACATATTTCAGAGTCGTCAAGAATAAGATACTCAGCGACACTGTCTTTATCTTTCCACATATACGATGCAATATTTTCAGACCTATCCTGTTTACAAGATGATTGTGTATTTGTTGATGCTGTACTATCTTCTACCTTCGTTAGTTGGCTATTTGATATCTGTCGATCTAATTGAACAGTCCCCCTGTCTAATTTAAGAGTTAATTTCTTCATATTTTTTGCAGAATATGGATCCACTGACTTGTTTTTCTTTAAAATAGGAATGAGTTCTTTCTTCTTGTTAATGATTTGCCCCCCACTACATGTCTGTCCTTTAGCTTCTTTGTCTTCAGTATCAGTATCCACTGATTCCGGTTCTGTCTCTGTATCCTCGACAATTTCTACTCTTTCGACAACCTGTGGCATTAATCCTACACTGACATTCGCACTTGACAATATTACATGATCTTCCGGGGATGCGACTGATTTTTTAATTTCCATTTCTTTCACTTCTACGATGCAGAAAGGATTCGTCTGTGCGCTATACATATTGTACGGTTTTGTGTCTGTCGTAACCAAGGTATTGGTTGATACTTGAGAGAACAAGGTACTATTTTTTGATAAAAAGAATTCTTCGTCGGGCATGTATGCATCTGTGTCAGGGGATGAAGAGAGTAAATCGTCGTCAATGTGAACAACTTGTGGTTGAGAGGTCGGAACAACGTCCGGTATACAACTCATGTCTAACTTCCGTCTAACGGTCCTACTAACATCTACAACTTTGCTTTTTACTTTTTCTGCCTTTATAGAAGACTTTCGTCTTCGATGAACGATAGGAATTGGCGAGCTTTTTGGTGTATGTATAACGTTACTTTGATTATCATCAAACGCAGGATTAAGATATCCTATCCCGTATATTTCCTCATTCTCATCTATTAACTTAGTTTCTTTCTTAACTAGCTGCACCGGAGCCTGTTCCGGTTGTCTAGACGATTTAATGCGTCCGTAATTGTCTCTCCCCTTAGTCTCTCCCACCTTACTTTTTATTAATAAATTGTCTGTGATTTTGTGGATCCATTCCTGTGAAAATATGATAGGTAACAGAATATTCATGGACAGGCGGACAGTTAATTGAAAGAGCATGTTAATAGTGTGACAATATCAAGCATGGCCAAATGAAAGTGACAATGCAATTTCATTGTGCAAACAAAGCTTTTTCTGTTGCGTGTATCCATCACCAATACAAACAAACTTGGAGCACATTTTATTTCATTCCTTATTGTTTTTGTTTTCTGGTAAATCATATTCAGACCTCTCTATGAAATTCTATACAAGGGGAGAGACAATGCCATAGATAATTGACCAGCAACAATGCATTGCCATCCACCAAAGATGATATCTGTTTCTCCACTAATATTAAGTAGTATATACATAGCTAGAGACACCTCTTGGACAAAGTATTTCTTTCTTGGACATAGTAACTTACACATAATCAGCAGTGAAGTGTTAAACGTGTACATAATAATAATTAAACTTATATAATTATTACATTATATAATCTGGTACTTGAGAAGTTAAAATTAATTACAAAGTAATCTTGAAGAAGCCACTATCAAGAAATAATTAATAATCAATACTAAAGAATTTAAAAAGTTAAACATATAAAATATGATTTTCTTTTGAATGAGATATACGTAATGGTACTATAAAGCACAAGAATTACATATACCAGATGTTAAGATACAGAAGAAGCAATACAAGCAATGAGAATATAAGCAATGGATGATATTCAAAACTTTCAAAAACATACATACTTGTATTCTATTAGATATTACATCCCATTTTTCACAAACTTCTGCCACTTTCGGATAATAAGTATAACGTTGCAAGTGATTGACTTTCGGTTTTGCTTCTATCATTTCACACTGGACAGCCTAGAAACAAACATTTTTAATTTACCAAATATCTTGTTATTGAAATAACAGCTGTTTTACAAATTAAAATCTTGTGTAATGAAAAATTACCTTGCACTGTTCAAAATGATTTTCTGTCAACTGATCAACTGGAACACTGTCTAGTTTATTCAATTTTTCTTGAACTTGCAAGAGCCATGCATTTAACTCGTCAACATTCGGTTCCTCCTGAAATTAGAAACGTTTGTTTCGTTATATTATTACGATTACTTTTTACATGTTGTATTTACCTCTGGAGCACTGCAAAGCTTTAATCTCTTTTCAGTGTTTCCTAATCTGGTTACAACGTCTGACAATTTTTCCTTAAGTTGTTCTAAATACATTGGATCACAAAGCTTGGAAAACTCTTCTTGGGATTTCAGTAACTTATCTTTTACAACGTTTAATCTTGGGATTACTTCTGTCAAAGTCTCCTATTCAAATAAATATTGATTTCTTTTATGCTCGAATATTTCAAGGCTCATACATTAAAGAAACATCTTAACTTTCTTATTTAAATATTGTTTAACCACGCATTCAGTACTTACGCGCACATATATCGCGTTAACTGGTAAATCAGGCATGTTCTTCTGTGTATCTAACTCTTTGTTAATACTATCTATGGACATGTTAATGTAAGACATATTTTTATACATATCACGTGACAAATCTAAAGCTAATTCCAAAGATGATTTCGACTCAGTTATATGTAATCCCAACTGCAATAAAAATGTAAGACGTAATTCTTAATACTAGACGTAATTCATGTATGAAATTAATAATATATCCGTAATACCTTATTATACAGTTCTTTCAACATATCAATTCGTTTTGAAAATTTCTCTGGATCAACAACATTTTTATCTTCTACCAATTTTCTGCCAGTGAGAATGATAGTCTCTATTTCACTTTTAATTTCACTTAACGTTTGGTAAAAACGCTGTAAAATAGAACAATCTATTGTAGTGTATATATTCATAAAGCCTACAGAATACAATTGGAATAACTGATTACCAGACAATGTTTGAGTTGGCCTTCAATAGCTTCTGGATCTTCTGAAGACAACTCTAACAAGCAAGTTGCTTCTTCTATCCCTCTAAGTTCACGCAATGCTCGTGATAACCTTGGCTCTAAATTCATTGGACAGCGAAAACGTTGGAATTTTTTTTGTACTTCAGAAAATGTTTGTTCTATAAGAGACAACTGTTCTTGCAGCCTAAGCGCGACTTCATGCTTTCCCGCAGCTTTATACGAGTCAATTTGTACTGCCATATCTTGAAGAGTTGATCGTTGATGTTCCATTTTCTCCATTAATTTCTGGAGTAAATAAAAAATCTGTTCCATTAATTGTATCCTACAATTCCTCTAGGTTTAACTACTCATTAATTAGAAGCGGCAAAACTTAAGTGTTGTGCAGTCAAACATGTTGACAAATATTTTCATTTCATGTACAAATTACATTCTCTCTGACATGCACTCTCATAAACAATGCTTTATGTACAGTATTCATTGAAGTGAAAGCACAGATAGATTCATTTACGTATGAATTTCATAATTTTCTTATTGATACAACTAGGAGGGAGATGACAAAAATTTGACTAACAGACCTGATAATCATGAGGCAAATCATCAGCGGTAAGGTCGCAGTCAAGACGTGCAGTTAGTTCAGAATCTATTTGCGTTAAGGAGTGTTGAAGAGCAAGGATACGTCCTTCTGATTGCTGTGCTTGCTTCACTGATCCTTCCAGCAGCTTCGCTCGCTGCCCTGCCTACTCAAAATATAATTCTAACTTTCTCGCATAACTTCTTCCAACATATTTTATTACATATATCGTTATATTGTTAATTTAATGCCAACGATTATTAAAATTCGGAATAGTGTAAATAATATGCAAAATTAAATGATAAATATGAGATTTTAACAAGTCAGTGCAAAAAAATTCATTGAAATTTAATCGATTCCATATAATAAATCGTATAGAATAATTATAATATAAATCTAAAGAAAAATAATTTTTCAGAAAAGCCAAAGCAATTTTTGAAAGCAGAATAAAATAATCTTCCAACAAAACATCTTTCAATGTGTCCATCTACGTGAACAATCTTTAAGTTCTCTTCAGCAGTTATGCATGCAGTTAAGGATGAATCAAATTTCGAATGTTAAACACAAAATTCAGAATAGAAAATTAATGTCTCAAGCATTTCGAATGTACATATTGCATAACGAATATCAACAGATTAATGCTATCTACATACACACAACGCTGACATACCTGATTGTTTAAACTTTCCCATCGATTTGTTAAGCTTTCTACATCTGTTTGAATGGATTGCGTCATGATATTACTTTCAGTCAGTTGTTTACCAATTTCTTGGATTTTTTCAAGCCTCATTTCTGGATGATTTCGAATGTAATTCTCCAAATCCTATTGAAAAAATAATGAGATTATTTTATAAAAATAAATCAGTTTCTACAATTATAAGCTTCATTCTTACATCGAGTTCTTCTGAAATTTCTTCGGCATCGGCAGCACTTTCTGTGGATCTCTTAAGTCTTTTATCTAACTTATCGAGCCAATCACTTTCTTGGGCAACCAGAGCACGAAATTCACCGTACTCGTGACTAGCATTTTGCAAATGTCTGTATCGTTCATAAATACGATCTGTAACGTCAGTCCACCGAGCATTTAAGAACGTAAAACGTCTGCCAAGTTCCTGTACTGAGGATCCTTCTGAGCTTAACAGTTTATCGTTGCCCATTTCATTAAGGTTCCTAAATTCTTCTACTCGCTTATCAATCTTTTCTTTCAACGACTGGTATCGACCACGAACTTGAAACAATTCAACCGAGGATGTAATTTTTGTTTCAGCTGGTATTTCCTTCTCCAGAGCTGACAACCACTTTGTAAAGTCCTCTATTCCATTTATTATCTGTTATAATTTGAAACAACATATTAGAAATCATGAAATATATTTAAACTTCAGGAAGATATTTGTTACGTACTTCATCATTCTTCTTTAAAGCATCTTCGTATGTATCATTTAAACTTTTAGCACCATCCACAATAGCATTCCATTTATGTGATATAACTTCTAATTTACTATTTAATACGCTTGCAAACTTTGGCTCAGAATTTTCGAGTAATTTGTTCGTCGATGTCTGAAGTTTTTCTATCTTCGGTTTTGTTTGACTTATGTTCTCGGACAGAGACTGAATTTGTGTTAATTTATGTTCCATAGCTTCGACGTTGTTAGTTACACCATCCTTTGCCAATTCTTCTAAGTCCTGATATGATTTCTCAAGCCAACGTTCGAGATTGGAAAGTTCATTGTTAAAAGTTTTCAAAGACTGTATATCTATATAATAACAAAATTAATTTTTCAAATCAGAAAAGTGTTTGTAAAAACAAATTTATACGAAAATACCTTTCAATAAATTCTGTTGACGTTCTTCTAATATTATAGGTATATCGCTCCACTTTGTGTTAAGATCTTGCAGCTCATCCTTAAGTCTTTGTCCCTGAGAGTCTCCACCAGTCTTCATAATCAATTCTTGTCCAACACTGTTCACATAATTAAAAATCTCTTGATGTTCTTTCAGAGAATCTTGAAGATCGCTAAATTTTTTTAACTGCTCCGCCATTGTCTGATTATCTGACATTACTATATGCTCTGACAACAATGTACTCTCCACATTATTAATAAAAGAAGTAAGATCGGCAACTGAATCTATATATTTTTTTGGCGGTGTTTTATCTACTGCTTCATTTATTTCCGTTAATCTTTCAGACAGTCTAAAACAATATTTGACAATTAAATTCATGCTGAAAAAACTATATAAATTAATCAATAAAAAGTTATTTACGATTTATATAATGCTTCCCAGTTAGAAACAAAGGTTTGTATATCCATATTCAGATTACAGCTTTCATTAGTATTAGTTGGTCTTTCCAATAACTCGCTGGTTTTTTCCGTCAATTTTTTAATACGTTCCTCGTGAGATTTCATTGATTTTATTTTCACCTACATTGCAAAATATAGACTTAAATTAATATCTTATATTATCGCTTAAAAAAACATGTTAAAACTAACATGCAAAACAACATAATTACCCTAAATGGTTCAACTTGGTTATTCCCTTTATTCGAATCCAACCATTTGGAATAACTTTCCAGCATTAAATTTAAGCTAGCCAATTCTGTTCTAAACTTTTTTACTTCTTCAAGATATTCTATGCGACACTTTATCTCGTCAAGCCGATTATTGATAGCCGACCAACAATTCTGTACATCTTTGAGTTTCGATTCCTCCGCCTCAGTCGACTCATTTACGTTCTTTAATTCCTCAAGAAGTTGCTTTCCCAGCTCCAAAACTTTATTATAATCATCCTTGTGCGACTGTATATCAACTATCGTATCGTTGTACACTACTTTCTTTTCTTCAACGCTTAATTCGTCAAACAATCCTTCCGATCGACCAATTTCCAGATCAACGTAATCAAGCCATTTGTACAGATTATTCACAGCAGACTCAAACTCGTGTCGGATTGTACTATCTAAAAATTGGGGAAGTTTTAAAAAATCCTTTGGATGTAAATATACCGTTGCAGTGATTTCTTCTTTGTAAGCGATACTCGTCACGGTTTCAGACATCCATTCATTACTAGAAACCATTGTCATTTCGCTCTCAGATTTCAGATCAAACTCAAATCCTGAACTAGTTATCTAACATAATACAAAAACAAACTTATCTCCTGTACAATTGAAAATCAAATAAAATTCCACAGAAAAACATGCAAATCTTTATGCATTACCCTTCGAGATTGAACTTCCATTATTTGTCCTACTGCTTCCCATCTATCCTGCAGGTTTTCAATCTTTTCCAATACATTAACACATTCGGGAGAAGTGCTCTGACCCTCTAACTCCTGAACGGATTCTTGCAAAGAGGTCAATTTCTTCTGATTCGAATCCATCTCCATCCTCAGTACCTGTACCTTCTTTATTCTCTCCAGTACTTCGCCGATCTCGGACGCTGGATTCGCTTCCATCTGTTTCAATGTGATTTCAGTTTCATTTAACCACGAGACCAATCTCTTGTAATCGTCATTTATAGTCTGCCAAAGCAGAGAAAGCGACTGCAAACGTTGCCTTCTTTCCTCCTTCCATTGACAAATATGAGTCCATCGTTCTCCAAGAGCGGACAGCTGATCCTCCATTTGTGCGTAAACCGCTTCCGAGTTCTCCTCGTCGACAACAACCACCATATTCCTCATACCATCGACAACTCCTTGCTGCGCCTGGATATCTTGCTCCAATTCGCTTAATTGTTTCAGCTGTTCGTCCAAGGCAGATGGATTCAATTCAGCGGCTGCCATTCGCGAAATCCTATCTTCGGTTTTTGTTAACCATTGCCTGAGCGCGTCTAACTGGCCCTGTTGCATCTGCATTAAAACCTGCAAATATGATCTGCTTTATGTGGTCTCTGCAGTAGATCAGTGGAATCTTAACATTTTATTTGCTTCACATTGGAGTTAAATATTACTATAACAAAGTTAAGGGTAATTTCTCGCCGTAATCTTCTGTAATTCCATACCTCGTGAATTTTCGTTTGTCTTTCCATTGCACGCATACGAAGTCCTTCCCACCGAGAATTCAATAACGACATCTGAACACGAACTTCGTGCTCCTCGTCCTTGTGTAAACCGCCTTCCGCCAATAATCTCGCACCTTCCTCCAATACAGCACCTACTCCGTCCTGGTGTCCGGACAGTTCCATTAAAAATATCTCGTGTTCATGAAATTGTTGCTTCAGTACTTCTAAGCTCGAGCCTGGTTCTGGAGCGTGATTTAGCTTATCTTCAGCCTCCAGAAGCCAGGTCAACACTTCTTCAAGGGCGACTTGGTAACCACCAAGTTCTACCGACACGTTTGTGGCAAGACTCATTGGTCTCGAGGCCGGTGTGCCGAAATTTGTGAACGATAATGGGTTCTACAAGTGGAAGTATTGGATTTTTCAGAAATACACGAAACCTAAGGTTGAATCCTATCAGTCAATGTAATAACTTTTACCTCAGCCCCTGGTGTCGTGACCGGGCTAGTGTCGCTGGCTACTGAAATATCTAGCTCGCCTATATCGTCTCCAGAATGAGGTAGCAATTGGAAGAGGCACATAACGTACATCATTATAGATTTTTTATCTGGTACTGATGTATTTACATCTGTAAAATAATATTGAACGTATAAATTTCGAGATGTACTGTAATGCTTCGCTACTAGTCCCGCTAGACCTCGTTACTAGACTATCATTACTCCCCTCTCTCATATTCAAAAATTCTTTATAAGAAACGACACTTCAGTTACATACTGAATGGCGATCTATTATCGATGCAATACTGTACTACAAATAATAATCCAATTTACCCTCTGGATCCAGCAGCCGTTCGATGCCCAACTGCTCCTGAGCGATTCGGAACGCATGGTCTAGTCTAGCGTTAGGATGTTTACGGGCTATATTATTGAAATCGAACAGATGCGATTTCCATCGGTGAAGAATCGCATTAAAGGCTAGACCGTCCGACCAAGATGTGGTGAAGTTTTTAATATCAACTCCGGGATAATTCTGAGAAAGTGATGAAATACAAAATCGGTCACTGGGTGGTTCGTTTTATTAGCAAGCGAAACAGCGTGCTTTTTTTTTCGTGTTTGTTAATAAGTAGAATTGTACCTGTGAATTCTGACGACACCATGCTAAAAGTGTTTTTTCCAGATTTGTTTGTTGTAACTCTGTCATAAGATCCTTCAGATGGTAATGTACCTGAATGAATGATGCAATTAATACTCGATAAAAATAAAAACTGGTGAAAAAAGAAAAGTATATTCAATGCACGCTGATAAATTCTACCCACACCGAATCGATCGTGAAACTGACCTGCCAGTGTAAAATAATACTCCATACTAATCCCAATGTTAGCTTAGGATTACCGTCAACGATGTCGTTGCTACTAATATTTACAAGTTTCACCTGAGAATGATAAAAAGTAAAATGCCTCGATTAATGCAGGTTCACCTGTTTTCTTATGGCGACACATACATACATGATCCATTGGACTTACATTATTTTGTTCAAGAATTTGCAACGCCTTATTAACATTATTAAGATGATGAACTCTCATTCGACCACGTTCTCTTTTCTGCAAATAGAACGAGTTAATTGTTTAAGGCACGAGTTAGATTTTTCTGTTTCGAACGTCCGTTCGTGTTTCTGAAATCATCGTTAAAATAAGATCCATATGGCTCACGATTTATAAAAAGAGCCTAGACGCCCAAGTGAATCTTCGGGATATATAAAGACACCTATGAAACGAGGTAAACACGCGGAACAACACGCACTTTTCTCTCCAGGCATACTTTCACGCCCACTGTGCGCATAGATAATCGCCGCTCTTATGCAAATATTCGTAATACTGGATACGCGCACCTGTTTGAAATTCTATTAGCGGAGCTCATAACGTACGCACGAATGGCTTTACCCGATAGGATGATTAAAAGGAAGACGACAGTCGGAATGGTTTAATGATTAAATCTGACACAGAACAATTAAGGCGTGAAAAAATGTCTACTTGTAGGTATAATTATAAATATCAAATATATGCATATTACCATGAACTTTTTGCATAATAAATCGGATGAAATCACATAAAATCGAAATGCATCACATGCATACAGATGTATTTTACTATATAATTGTTGGTTTTCAGTGTTTTTACGTAAACTGTCGATGATCAATTTTATCAAATTTACATCAACAACAGACACATTTACATTACTAATTATTACTACTATTAAGGAACAGCACTGGAAAATTGGTTTTCAGTGGGTGTACTTACATAAACTTTCGACGTGAGAACTTCCAGAAGGGACAGTAAGCGATTGCCATCTCTTAAATCGACGAATAAGTCTGTAATCGGTTCGTGCTGATTCTACGAAGAATATTTCATTGTTAATTCCATAATTCCGTTGTGTGTTATGGAACTGTATTGCGTGGAGAAATTGTACGTAACATTGGATGATTACATGAATACGTTTACACTTTTCTTTAACACGGTTATATGATTGAGTTGCAATTTTTGTTAACCTTTCAAAAACAATACACGATAATTTTAATTAAAAATATTAAAAACTTACCTTAAGCAGCTGCGAATTTATCCACTTTGCAAACGTTTTTTTCTGTACGTCTTCCCGTTCATCTGTAACACACAAGCATATGATTACATATTAATTAAAAGATAATACTTTACAACCTGATCAGTTCATTCATACAGGTGCGGTGACACATTATTGATGCAAATATGACATTATAGTACACGTATACTACGAATGTATTTGGATAATTGCGTAACATAATGTGTATAGTGGCGCTATACAGCTGTAGTGCAATGTACTCCGATAACATAAGATAATTTTCGACGATATAAAAGTGCAGTTGCGTCGTGAGAGTTGAGGGTAAACTAGTAGTGCAATAGTGCACTGTTATAAGGATAATTTATATTTGTCCTTATTAGGGATTTAACAGAATAGTTGTGCGATAATATTTCTACTGCATAGCATTGGCTAGACAGGTATAGTTCGACATCTACAAAATAGTATAGTAGTATGATAGTATGTCGTACAATAATATAGCAGACGATGCGTCAAGTCATTTGATATCCTAAACGCTTAATGATACAAAATACTAGGAAACATCGAGAATCATAGTTATTATTACGAGCGTTGAAAAACCTCATCTCCATTACGGAATATCTTATTTCCGCGGTAATAGCAGTGGATTCACTGTCATTTCGACACCATCGCGAAATTATTGTCGACGTGGCAACGACGGCTCGTCATCTATCGCGTTGACACTCATTGACCCCGGTAGATGCAGCAGTAAACTCTCGAAATTTAGGTCGGCAAACAGAAAGTCATAAGCCAAGTTCTTAAATACCTGTGGCTGGAGGTTACAGAACGAACACAAAATCCTTTCTCGTATTAGTCAGTGATTACGCAAACCATAGTCTGTCATTGAAAGCCAGACGCTATTCAGAATCTACATACGTATATCTGTAACGTTACGTCTTAATTTCGCAGAGGTAACAATTTGATACAAGGAAAAATTCACGTTCGTTACTTTCGATCCAGAATTCAATCTCAAATATTCCACTAGTAAACTTGATTAATAAGCCACACATGGTGGTGCAAGTGTGCATTTTTATGGACGCAGTTGTAAAAAGTGGAAACTAGCGCGTTTACTATCGGAGCCTACATAACTACCGCATAGTTGAAGCATTTTCTTCAACTCGATGCAGAATCTATGCGAGCCAAGATTTATCCTTCTACCACTAATTCCCCCTATTAATTTACATTAATGCATGTATTCCATCGGTTGCTCATTCCTAAGAATTATACACGTATAAAATCTATACAGTACATCCTTGATGAGTGTTCGAAGGCTCATCGGCACTGAACGTTAAATATTTCCTAAACTAATAACTATATGTGGCTGAAACCAATATTATTCGCTTCAGAATTCCAAGCTCTATCACTGTGCTAAACCTCATTAAAAAGTCATCGTTACACCTGGGGACCTTTCTTGTCAGTGCCGAGGAGACTTCGAACGCTCATCGAGGATTAATTGTATTCTTCCGATCAATCAATCGGGACTCGAATTCTTGTAGCTCGACTACTGGATCAAGTGTTGCTTCCAAAACAATCTCCCCGTCAATTGTTAATTTCATTCGTCCACCCTGTACTCCTCATGGATCCGCATTTATCGTCGCTCTTCTAATCTAGCGAATGCTCCAAATAGCTGCAACATGAGGCATGCCGACCCGATCAGTGTAATCTACATCGGATGTGCATTAATCACGACGCTATCGGGAGGCTTCGTACCATGGTTCGGACAAGATAATAGTTTCTCATTCCAGATTTCGAGAAAATGTTAAATGGGAAGATGCACGTCGAACAGCGTGGACGTAACCGGCGGGTGAATGAATGAACGGCCAGTACTTATCTTACGTTCGAACGGGTACAAGATAGCGGGAACGGTGGGAAGCAAGGGGCAAAGGAATCGCGAATGACGATCACGTCGACGAAGTAAAGTATGCCGTAAGATACACGCGCAAGACCGTGTGTCTTTCCTGGACAGGGATCGAGCAGTGATGGGACCAAACACGTCGCAAGTATCGATGCCTGACGATGAAACTTCGTGAACAATTTGAAAAACAAAGGATCCACTTGAAAGTATAATTCAAACTTCGAAAAAGACATTCGAAATTTCTGGAACTACTCTGAAACACGAAAATCATCACTATAGGTACTCGAGCCATAATAGAATATACTTATACCTTTTATAAGTACATACTTCCATGTCTTTACGGTTCGAATAATTTTGTTACTCACTGTATACCGATAGAATGTATATAAAATCCATAGACTCGAGTATCAGAGAAAATGGTTCGATGCTTGAACTATTTCAAACACGTTTGAATGCAATTTCAAGCCTCGTACACCCACGAGAAAACTCGGCTTCCACTAGGGGAAAAAGTAGTGTAGGGGTTAGGGCCTCTACTGCTCGATAAATTTATTTCAGAGACTGAAATAAATGTTAAATCGAATGTTAACTTGGCATAAATTTCAGTAACTCCGAGACCAAGTGGTAGGAGGTCTTTCCCTTACATCACTTTTTCCCATTACACATACTCGTTACAAGTTTCTAGAACGGCTGAAACGAACAATTCATTTTTCAACTTGGTCCCATCGCTAGCATCGGCCGACGTGGAGCTTTCCTTACGAAACCGTGCCGCTTCCGAATATGGTGCATCGAGTTCTTTTATACCGGCGCGCGATCGCCAGTTTTCTTTCCGTGCTGACCGCCGCCGTCGTCGTATGTTCACCGAGAGAATCTCCGCGCAGCCGTTCGGTGTCAGGAAACGGAACGGCGATATACAGGGTGCGGATCTGAAATCGTGGTACGGCAATAAAACCGGCGTGATCCCTTTCGTAAATTTCGTTCGGCTCTCGCTCGAACGGACGGGTGGATGATTCTGATGGGAAAAGTAAAACGTGAACGTGGAATACGAATCGGTAAATTTCACGTTCTTTTATGTTATAATTTATATCACTGCCAGAAATACTATTTCTTCGTGAGTGAATACACGTTTAAATAAGGCACACGAATGCACAGAAAATATTTATTAGTCTTGCACTAGTTACGGATTTCAGTGGAATTCTCTGTGGATAATAATTTTATTTCATGTTTTCGATTTATTTTTATACATAACATTGTTACCTTTTAAATAAACGTTAAATAATAAAGGGCAGAAAAGTTCGACAGTCTTGCACAACCAAGTGTTAACGTGTTTGAAGTTTCTGGAACGCTGACCTTTATGATAGGCACTTTTGAAGATAAAAAAAACACACACAATTATCGTTTTCGGATGATTTTCCCATAACGAACCACCTATTTCCGGTTGTGCCACGAATTCAGGGCCGCACCCTGTATACATGCGACTTCCTGCGGCTACAACCCATTCTACACGGACGAAGAATAATGACCAATAGATCTTGCTCGATGGAGATGAATGTTGGTTACCCAAGCGCTACGGGATACAGAAAAAAAATTTACTATGTACAAATAGAATAATGGTACTATTGTAACAGCGATGCCCGATGTGCACCGTTCGGCAATGATTCTTCTCGATAGAGGCAATTTAGGTGTTCTTTGGTGGAAATGTGAGTTCGAGCTGTTGTCCAACCTGGATTTGAATCTTTGTACCATCGTTGGCTCGTTTATTTATCTATTTATATTACTGTGGTGTAAGTTATAATTCATAGTATTTACATAGTGTAAGGTATATCATATTCATGGTTTTTATAGTGCAAAGTGCATCAGATTCCCTTTCTACACATTTGACTACACCTGAGCGATCGTTTATGATAGAAAAATTAACCAATTGATGGGCTAAAGGATTCACTATTATTATCACTGAGTATTTGAAATTAGTTTTCGAGCATATTGAAAACAATTATTCATCTGATTCATCCTGTGAGATTGGAATGAGTCATGTTTTCTCTTTGATTGAGTATAGAAAAGAGGGGTACAAGAAAAAGTGGTCTGGTATAATGAATCTGTCTTTCAACAGTCTCACTTTCTTCGCCCTGGCTGCAAAATTGCAGGTGCACTCTTAATAGAACTTTAATGGAACAGCATACTTTCTTCGAGTAAATCCCTTCCTCGAGAATAAAATCATTTTGATCGGTGAAATCTCTCGAATCTCCCGAACAAGTAAAATTCCGAGCAAAAAGGATACAATCGAGTACAGATCGAATTTCAATCGGATCCACTGAATTTCAACAATTTTCTAGAACCGAGAGCCCTGTTACCGTAGACG